ACTCTGTGTCTGATAAATCGCTTGCATCCATTTCATTTACCTCTTTTTCTGGAGATTTCTCCTGTTCTTTCATTTGGGGCATGTTTTCCTTAAGGAGGGTAGATAAGCTTTCTTTGCGTACAGCTGTTAGTAGTGGAGTTCAGTCTAAATCTTGGGCTTTTGCATTTAAAGTCCATTTCACCTTCTATCGTGGTACTTAGTGTTGTCGTTATTGTTTCCATCTGTTTTCCCTTTTTATCTTCTACATCTCCTATGCAGTTAGCTATCGATGTATTGAACACTGATATCTGATCATTTTGTTTCTCTTTGGATTTTTTTTTTTTTTTTTTGCCAATCCTTACCTGAAGATATTTTTCCACTGATTTCTTAGAGCGGAAGGGAAGGGGGGGCGGGGGAGGGGGAGAGAGAGAGAGAAAGAGAGAGAGAGAGATCGAGAGAGATCAATGTGTAAGAGACACATTGATTGGTTGCCTCCCACATGACCCTGACGAGGGCCAAGGATCGAACATGCAACCCAGGTACATGCCCTTGACCTGGAATTGAACCCGAATCCTTCAGTCCATGGGCTGAAGCTCTAACCACTGAGCAAAACAAGCCAGGCTCTTTGGATATTTTTATTTTACTTTTGATTTCTATACTTATCCTAATCTAGGCACTCATCACTTAATACTTAGGTTATTAGTTGCCTTCTGGCTGTACTCACTACTGCCCTTTTAGCTCTCTCTGCCATTAGTTTTTTACAGTTGATTTCATTCACTACTGGTAGATATATTGATATTCTTTAAAATATGTTTTCATCATGTTGTTTTCCTGTTTAAGGACTTTGGTGTCTTTCTCTTGTATATGTGATCAGAATTCTCAGCCCACCATTCAAAGCATCTTCTAAGTAATCATGGCTTGCCTATTTGATCATATGTCTATTTTTTCTTTATATCTGATCAGATGTTGTAAACTTATCTTCCTGCCTTACATACTCTTGCCTGTTACAGCTTGTAAACAGGCTGTGTTAATTAGTCTTCCACATAGAAAATTTCAAAGTGCCCTTTTCTTTCTGTTGTCAGTGATGAATAATAATGTTTTCTCCAGATACGTGTTTTAATTGTGCTCATTTTTGTTATAGACCAAAGCAATGCTATGTATATGAATGCATTTGTGGGTTTGGAAAATGTTAATTTAAAAATGAATTAGAATGTGATAAGAAAAAAAGATAATGGGTAGTCTTCCTGGTCCTGGATTTTGATAAAATGAGATGATTTCTGGAGTTGGGTCGGGATGTAAGAATTGTGTTGCTGAAGCTTAGGTGATGTTGCTGAAGCTTAGGTGATAGGAAATAGGAGGAAAAAAATACTATTTTCCCCACTTGTGTATAAGAGCAGGATTTAGCTTTAACTTTGACATTGGACCTAGATTGAATGAAGGAAACTAGGAAAAAGGTTTACTTAAGAGATTATAGGTATAAGTCCCAGAGAAGAGTCAGTAACTGGCTCAGTAATATTAAGAGACAACTAACCAGTCTAATTTGACTTGAACTCAAGAAGTGAAAGATACAGTTTTCTTAATAGATTGGGACTGGGAAATATATTTAAATGTTAGGAGCCAGTACCTGTATAATTTGTACCTTGATGTTTTTCATGTTAAAGTAAAATAATTAAAGATTTTGATCACTTATAATGTAACAGGCCCTGTGCTAGACTATATATTTTATTTTATTATTATTATTATTTTTTTAATTTTTAATCCCACCCAAGGATATTTTTCTATTTACCTTCAGAGAGAGTGGGAGAGAAGGAGAGAGAGAGAAACATCAAGGTGAAAGAGACACATCGACTGGTTGCCTTCGCACAACCCTGACCAGGGCCAGGAACAAACCGCAACCGAGGTACGTGCCCTTGACCGTAATCGAACTCATGAGTCATTGGTCCATGGGCTGACACTCTAACCACTGAGCCAAACTGGCCAGGGCTAGACTATATATTTTAAAAGAGGAGAAAACATAGTTTTGGCCTTAAGAAAGCTCAGAACCAAGTTGGGGAGAAAAACTTATATATGAACAAATATGTTAATTGCCATAGGAAGATATGTACAAAGTACAGGATAATTTAAATTAGGAAGTGGTGAACTATGCTTTGAGAAAACCAAGGAAAGGAGCATGGATACTTTGATTTGAAAGTCATGTAACCAGAAAGAAATGCCCCTTTCTCCTTTAGTCTTCCTGGTGGAATAAAAGAATGAGGGACTCTACCCTGGCCTCAATATTATTGTCTAAAGGGGAAATATCATCGTCTGTTGTCTATTCATTCTCTAGACTGGGGTACCAGAGATCATCCTAAGTCTTTTGGGATGCCCCTGACACTTCTATTGCTTGATCAAAATCCTACAACATTCTGAGGCTCAACACTAAACTAAAGCCTCTCCTTACTAACCCAGTCTTATACTGGTCTTTTTTAGTTCTCTAACATCTGTGCCCAATATGTTTATATGTATTTGGGATGGAAATGTATAATTTCAAAAATGTTTTATGTGTATCTTGTCCAGTTAGAATGTAAAAAAGGGGGGGGGGGGCTTTAGGTTTCACAAAGGGCTGAATAGTATGAACTTAATTAATTTTTGTTGTATGAGAACTTCCCAGTAATCTCATAGATGCTGAATTAGTCAGCTTTTGCTATGGCAGCAAACAACCCCAAAATTTATTTGGGGGACTTACAATAACAAACATTTATTTCTCACCAGCATTTGTTAGGTTGGCTGTGCTCAGCTGGCTCAGCTGGTCTTGACAGTGCCTGCCTCCATGCTGAGTTCTGTTTGTTATGGAACTCAGGTTGAAGGATCGTTGTCTACCTGAGGCATGATCTTCTCTTGGTAGAGTGCAGGAGCACAAGAAAGCTAACAGCAATAGTTCTTAAAAGAACTTCATAGAGAGACTTCCGGTCAAGATGGCAGCGTAGGTAAACGCGGTATTGCGTCCTCCCACAACCACATCAAAGTTACAACTAAACTACAGAACAACCATCATTCAAAACCGCCTGAAATCAAGCTGAATGGAAGTCCTACAACTATAGAATTAAAGAAGCAGCCACATTGAGACTGGTAGGAGGGGCGAAGGCAGATGGGCTGGTCCCACACCCACGTGTGGCGGATAAAAATCAGGAGGCTCCCGCAGCTGGGAAGGTCCTTCCTGAGGACTGAGGGGTCCCTGTCCCACACCAGGTGCCCCGCTCAGGGTTCCAGTGCCAGGAAGAGAATCCCCATAACTTATGGCTGGAAAAACCAGCGGGAACTGAGGCTCAGGGAGGCTGAGGCGGCTGGAGCCCCAGGCAGGTCCTTAAAGGGCCCGCGCACGGACTTATCGGACTCTCTCCCTCTAAGCTCGGAGGGGAGGCAGCTCAAGGGGCGCCAGAGATATACAGGGAAGAACTGAGCTGTTTGGCACTGGAGCGAGGGCTGGAGAGGGGGCTTTCTCCAGGACAAACGTGCTGTAAGAGGCCTTTGTTCCTTTGGTGAGCCCTTCCCGGGGGCAGCAGACAGAAGCCATATCTGGGACTCCAGCAACCTGGCTCACACTGGTAGCCCCGCCCTGCTGACTCCCTGAGGCCCCGCCCCACCCAACTTTCAAGCCCACCCAAGCTGTTGCCAGTTGCTTCACCATAGGATTGGCCTGTCTTGGATCCTGCTTCAGGTTTTTCCTAAATTATTTCAAACAAGCAGCATCTGGTGTCAGCGAGCCCCATACCTCTCATTAAGTAATACACTGAAACAAACACAGGGAGGCAGCCAAAATGAGGAGACAAAGAAACAGGTCCCAAATGAAAGAACAGAACAAAACCCCAATAAAAAACTAAGCGAAATGGAGATGAGCAACTTAACAGATACTGAGTTCAAAATACTGCTTATGCCCTGGCCGGTTTGGCTCAGCGGTTGGAGCGTCGGGCTGCGGTACAGAGAGACCCGGGTTCGGTTCCTGCTAAGGGCATGTACCTCGGTTGTAGTTTGTCCCCGGCCCTGGTTGGTCGTGCGGGTGGCAGCCACTCGATGTGTCCCTTCACATCGATGTTTCTCTCTCTCTCTCTTCCTCTCTCTCCCTCCCGCTCTATCTGAACAAAAAATGTCCTCAGGTGAGGATTAAAAAAAAAAAAAAATACTGCTTATAAGGATGCTCAATGAACTTAGTGAGAACCTCAATGAACTTAGGGAGGGCCTCAAGAGCATTAAAAAGGACCAGTTAGAAATCATGGATACACAGTTAGAATTGAAGGAGGCATTAACTGAAATAAAGAATAATTTACACAGCTTCAATAATAGAGTATGTAAATCAAAGGAGCAAACCATCGATTTGGAATATAAGGAAGCAAAAAATCCCCAATCAGAACAACAAAAATAAAAAAGAATCCAAAAAAATGAGGATAGTGTAAGGAGCCTCTGGGACAATTTCAAGCATGCTAACATTCGCATCTTGGGGGTGCCAGAAGGAGAAGAGAGAGAACAAGAAGTTGAAAACCTGTTTGAAACAATAATGGCAGAAAACTTTCCTAACTTGGTGAAGGAAACAGACATACAAGTCCAGGAAGCACAGAGAGTCCCAAACAAGATGAACCCCAAGAGGCCCACACCAAGACACATCATCATCAAAATGCAAAGGTTCAAGACAAAGAGAGAATCTTAAAAGCAGCAAGAGAAAGGCAACTAGTTACCTACAAGGGAGTACCCATTAGGCTGTCAGCTGATTTCTCAAAAGAAACTTTGCAGGCCAGAAGGGAATGGCAAGAAATATTCAGAGTGATGAAAAGCAAGAACCTACAACCAAAATTACTCTATTCTGCAAAGCTGTCATTTAGAATTGATGGACTTATAAAAACTTTCCCAGACAAGAAAAAGTTAAAGGAGTTCATCACTACCAAACCGTTATTATATGAAATGATGAAATATTTTCTTTTTGAAGAAAAAGATAAAAGGTATGAAGAAACAAAATGGCAATGAATACATATCTATCTACAATGGAATCTACAAACAAAATGAACAGGTAGAACAGAAACATTCTCATAGATACAGAGAACATTTTGTTGGTTGCCAGTTGGGAGGGGGGTTGGGGGAATGGGTGAAAAAGGTGAAGGGATTAAGAAGCACAAATTCATTGCTAGACTGACAAACCTCATAGGGAAAGGGGTTGGGGGGGTGGGAAGAAATAAGCCAAAGAACTTATATGCATAACCAATGGACACAGACAATAGTGTGGGAAAAGGTGGGAGGGGGCCGGGAGTGGGAAGGAGGGAGTCAATGGGGGAAAAATGTGGAACATCTATAATACATTTTACATCCAACAATAAAGATAGGAAGGAAGGAAGGAAGGAAGGAAGGAAGGAATGAGGGAGGGAGGGAGGGAGGGAGGAGAAAGAAAGAACGAACTTCATAGAACTGGCCCACATTTCATTGGTCAAAGCAAAGCATTTGGCAAGGTACACATTCAAAACAAAAGAGTGGGAAAGCATTATATGCCTATAGGGTGAAGGACGGGATGTTTATTGAACAGTATGACCTAATACAGATATTTCTGAATTAAAACAAAAAGTTAACAGATAAAGTTATACGTGTGAAACGAAATAATCTAGTGGGGAGGAGGGCTTTCGGGGGCTTAGGAATGAGAAAAATGTAATTAAAACTTAAAATTACTTTAACAAAAGCAATATCAGCATTACAGGGTCGGGGGCAGCAAAGTGTCCTAGTTAAAAACTGGGCTCTGGAGTCAGTCCACTCTTGGTGGATAAAAAAGCTGTGGTACATTTACACAATGGAACACTATGCAGCTGTAGGAAAGAGAGATCACTTATCCTTTGAGATGACATGGAAGGACCTGGAGAGTATTATGCTAAATGAAATAAGCCAATCAGAGAAAGACAAATGTCACTTATTTTTTTAATATAATGATCAAAATAGACCCAGAGACATAGAAAGGAGTACAGTTCATACTGATAAACTTCAGAGGAAGTGGCGGGAGGGGAGGGTGGAGATAAACCAAAGAACTTATATTCATGTGTGCGTAACCAAGGTTCAGATTCTGGATCTGCCACTTCTTGTTGTACAATCTTCAGCAAGTCACTGTATCTCAGTATCCACATCTGTAAAATGGATGTGCCACTTACCAAACTGTTGCTTTTCAGCTCTAAATCCACCTTTCATTATCTTATTTGTGATATTGGAAATTTCTTCCTTGACAGCTTTTGTTAAGCTTTGTCAGTAGAGGGACTACAGGGAGACTGGAGAAGGAACAGGTGTCACTTTCTGATTCTAATGTGCTCTTTGTAGCATACAGTGGCCCATAGCATGTGGGACACCCAGTAGCACTCAACTCCTAGGGACTTTTAGTGACAACAGTCCTACATGCCATTTACAAATGAGTTTTGTACTATGCCGTCTCCTCCCCATGGGCAACTTCCCAAGTTCTACTGGCATGAGTTCTCCTAATAGATGGCTTTATTGTGAGTTCTGTTGGTGTAGCACTTTAATTTCTCAGGCATCCATGGCTGTGTGGCTGTGTCCTCACCACAAGGCCTGGATCTCAGCCTTGTTGGGAGTAGCCCTTTTATTGATTTATTTCCTTGTTGGTCTGTGTCAGCTCTTGAAGTAGTGGCTACTCCCCGTATCTTCTGTCTCTTTACCCCTTAGTACTTAGTCCCCTGTTGTAATTAATAATGCTTTATATTAAATTTTTCCTGTTCAAATTACCATGTGGTTTCTTGTCTTCTAATTGTACCTTGACTGATATATCAGGTTTACAAGTAGTACTTTTCTCATACAATTGTTCTGAGGATTGAATAGGATAATTGTGTTGCAAAGTATTTAGAATAGTGTCTGCCACTGAGTAAGTGCTTACATTTGTTGGTGCATATCCTCATCAATATCCTCATCACTGTTACTACCACTAGTTAGGAGTAACATTTCTAATTTTTCTTCATAGGATGTTTCGTCTTAAATCACTTTCTGCCTTGGCAGAACTAGCCCTGGGCTCCCGATGGTACCATGGAGGATCACAGCCCACCCAGATCAGGCGGCGACTAATGGTGGTGGCTTTCTTGGGAGCATCTGCAGCAACTGCAAGTACTGGTCTTTTGTGGAAGAGGTGAGTGTTATCTGAGCATCCTGTTCTTACATGTACTTTGATTCTTCCCATTGTTTCTGTTATTTAAAAGTAATTGATTTCTGGCTTACCTTTGTATCAAAATTTCTTGCCCAAGTTATTTGGCATTGATAATATTTATCTATGAAAAAAGAAGTTTCAGAAAATATAGTTATCATTTCAAAGCAACAAATAGGGAGTATTCTGCTTCAAGATCTGCCTGTCTCCTTTCCTGAACATTTTAACTAATTTACCAATTTAATACTTTTAATATATTTATAATAAATAATTAATATAATACATTTAATAATTTAACATGTAAAATTTTTTGATTTTAGGTATATTCCCAAAATTGTGCAGCCATCACCACTATCTAATTCCCCAAAGTTCTTATCACTTCATAAGAAACTCCATACCATTTAGCAGTCACTTTCCACTTTCTCCATATTCCCTGACCCCAGGGAACCACTCATCTACTTTCTGTCTATAAATTTTCCTATTCTGGACACTTCATATAAATGGAATCTTATAATATGTAATCTTTTGTCACTTACCATAACATTTTCAAGGTTCATCTATGTGGTACCATGAATCACTACTTCATTTTTTTGTGTGTTATATCCTGTTGTATGCAGTGTATACCACATTTTTACTTATTCATTTCTTTTCTTTTTTTTTTTTTTTTGGTACGTGCACCTAGTGGGAACTGAACCCGGGACTCTCTGGTCCACAGGCTGACGCTCCAACCACTGAGCCAAACCGGCCAGTGTGACTTATTTCATTTCTTTGTTGATGGCTAGTTTGGTTGTTTCTAATTTCTGGATATTATAAGTAATACTGCTATGAACTTTTGTGTACAATTTTTTTGGATAGAATATATTTTCTTTCTTTTTTTAATTTATTTTTTATTGATTAATTTTTGTTACAGATGATTCTCTTTTTTTCCCCCACTGATTCCCCCCTCCCCCTCCCCTCCCCGCCCCTTCCCCAGATTGTTGTCCATGTCCACTGTTCATGCATACATGCGTATAAGTTCTGTGGTTCATCCCTCCCCCACCTCCCCACTCCTTAGGGGATTGTCAGTCTGTACCCCGCTTCCGCGTCTCTGGGACGACCCCATTCCTCAAACTGTTATGTTCATTATATTCCACAAATAAGTGAGATCATATGAAATTTGTCTTTCTCTGTTTGGCTTGTTTCACTTAGGATGATACTTTCAAGGTCCCTCCATGTAGTCTCAAAGGATAAGAGATCTTTCTTTCTTACCGCTGCGTAGTACTCCATTGTGTATATGTACCACAGCTTTTTGATCCATTCGTCTACTGATGGGCACTTGGGCTGTTTCCAGATCTTAGCAATTGTAAATAGTGCTGCTACAAAGATGGGGGTACATATATTCTTTCTTATTAGTGTTTTATGCTTCTTAGGGTATATTCCTAGAAGTGGGATCACTGGGTCAAATGGAAGATCAATTTTTAATTTTTTGAGGTGACACCATATTGTTTTCCATAGTGGCTGCACCAGTCTGCATTCCCACCAGCAGTGTACTAGAGTCCCCTTTTCTCCACACCCTCGCCAACACTTGTTGTTTGATGATTTGTTGATGGCGGCCATTCTGACAGGTGTGAGGTGATACCTCATTGTTGTTTTGATTTGCATCTCTCTGATGATTAGTGATGATGAGCATTTCTTCATACGTTTCTTAGCCATTTGTATGTCCTGTTTGGAGAGGTGTCTATTTAGTTCCTCTGCCCATTTTTTAATTGGATTCTTTGTCATCCTTTTGTGGAGTTGTATGAGCACTCTATATGTATTGGAAATTAACCCCTTATCTGATATATCATTGGCAATTATGCTCTCCCATACAGTGGGTAGCCTTTCCGTTTTGATGATTGTATCTTTCGCTGTGTAGTGGATAGAATATATTTTCATTTCAGAAGGATATTTACCTAGGAGTGAAATTTCTGGATCATATGGTAACTCTATGTTTAACTATGTGAGGAATTGGTGGAATTTTTTTGTAGTCTCACTAGTATGTGTGCGCTTGTGAGTGTGTGTATATGTGCTTAGATTTCCTCATATATAAAATGGGAGTAATGATAGTACCTATCTCATAGGGTTCTTATTAAGATTAAATGAGTTATTATTTGTTAAATGCTTAGAACAGTGCCTCGCACATAATTTTGTAAAATAAATATCTTGTGTAGAAAGTACTTGGCACGTAGTACGCTATCAATAAATGTTAGCTATTATGATTAGGTATAATATGAGGATGAGCAAAAGAGAGAATATTAGCACAAAAACTGGCTTTCCAAAAAAAAGGTTGGAAGCCTGATATAAAAGATCTTGTGTGCTGTGCTAAGGAGTTGAGATTTTAATGCCTAGGCAGTGGTGAACTAAGAGGTTTTGAAACTAGAGATTGATAGTAGATGGGTTTTAAGAAGGATTAATATAGCAATAACTATGGAATAAACTGGAGTGAGGAGAAGCTATTGACAGATACTAATACTAGTTTAAGATGATGAGGAGGGTATGTAAGATCCTTAGAAATGAGTTGCTGGGCTTAGGAAATTTTCCAAGTAAAATGGACAGGAAGAGAGACACAGATCAAGAAAGAGATTTAGACTGAGAAACAAAGAGAGGGAGGCAAGAAAGAAGGAAAAGAGGAGTAGGAAGTGTATTTTTTGTCTTTTAGCTATAATAAATAGTACATGCTTAGCAATTTCCTCAGGGATACTTTCCTACAATGGAATTATAGGATTCCATGCAGGTGAATTTAGAATTGCCTTTTGGTATAGTCTAGCATCAAAGAACACAAAAGATTCTACTTGAAGAAGTTGAAAAGTTGTTCCATGGTTTGAATGTTTAAGAAATTATTCCGCCCTGGCCGGTTTGCCTCAGCGGTTAGAGCGTCGGCCTGCGGTCCGGAGAGACCCGGGTTCGGTTCCCACTAAGGGCACGTACTTCGGTTGCAGTTTGTCCCCGGCCCTGGTTGGTCATGCGGGTGGCAGCCACTCGATGTGTCCCTTCACGTCGATGTTTCTCTCTCTCTCCCTCCCACTCTATCTGTACAAAAAATGGAAAAATATCCTCGGGTGAGGATAAAAACAAAAACAAAAACAAAACAAAAAATTATTCCACCCTGGCCAGTTTGGCTCAGCAGTTAGAGCATCAGCCTGTGGTCCAGAGGGACCTGGGTTCGTTTCCCACTAAGAACACATACCTCAGTTGCAGTTTGTCTCTGGCCCCAGTTGGGGTCATTTGGGTGACAGCCAGTCACTGTGTCTCATATCGATGGTTCTCTCTCTCTCTCTCTCTTTCTCTCTCTCTCTCTCTCTCTCTCTCTCTTCCCCTCTCCCTCTCTCTCTCCCTCTCACTCTATCTGAAGATGAATGAAAAAAGGTGAGGATAAAAAAAAAGAAATTATTTATTTTCTTCCCCAGAGTCAATTTGTTTATACTATTCAAGTTAAACACTGATGAACAAGTTAGGTGTTTTGTTATTTATGTTTTGCTACTTTTTGTAATACTGCTCCCAAAAAAGGAATAAGAAGATGGTTTGGAGTGTAACATAAAAGAAATATTCACACCCTGTCTGGTTTGGCTGAACAGTTAGGGCATTGGCCCATGGACCAAAGGGTCACAGGTTCAGTTCCTGGTCAAGGGCATGTTCCTGGGTGGCAGGTTTGATCCCCAGCCCTGTGTTTCTCACATCGATATTTGTGTTTTTTTTTTCTCTTTCTCTCTCCCCCCCCTTCCACTCTATCCAAAAAAAAAAAAAGAAAGAAATCAGTGGAAAATTATTCTCCAGTAAGGATTAACAAAAACAAAAAGAAATACTCACATTTGTAGTTTTTTTTTGGTACGTGCCCCTAGCAGAAACTGAACCCGGGACTCTGGTCCGCAGGCCGACACTCCAACTGCTGAGCCAAACCGGCCAGGGCTGAGATTTTTGAGCCCCAAAATATCCAAAACAAAATTTCCATCAATAGATGAATGGATAAAGAAGAAGTGGTGCCTATATACAAGAGAACATGATTGAGCTATGAGGAAAAAAATGAAAGAACTCTTGCCATCTGCAACAACATGGATGGACCTAGAGGGTATTGTGCTGAGTGAAGTGGATCATACAGAGAAAGACAAATGCCAGATAATTTTACTTGTCTGTGTAATCTAAAGAATAAAATAAATGAACAAGTAGAATAGAAACAGACTTACAGATACCGAGTACATTTTGACAGTTTCTTGATGGGAAGGGACTTGATGGGATGGGTGAAAGAGGTGGAAGGATAAAGTACAAATTGACAGTTACAGGCTAGTCACAGGGATGTAAAGTACAACATAGGCAATATAGTCAGTAATATTGTAATAACTATGTGTGGTGTCAGACGGGAATTAGATTTATTGGGGTGATCACTTTATAAGTTACATAAATGTCTAATCACTGGGTTATACACCTGAAACTAATATATAATATTGTACATTAACTGTAATTGAAAAATAAAAAATTATTTTTTTTAAAAAGAGAGAGAAAGAGCCCTGGCCAGTTTGGCTCAGCAGTTAGGGTATCAGCCTTCAGACCAAAGAGACCCAGGTTCGATTCCAGCCAAGAGCAGGTACCTCGGTTGTGGTTCGTCCCAGCCCTGGTTGCGGTTGTGCAGGTAACAACCAGTCGATGTGTCTCTCACATCGATGTTTCTCTCTCTCTCTCTCTCTCTCCCCCCCTCCCTCTCCCTCCCCCTCACCCCCTCCCTCATACTCTGTCTGAAGATAAATGTAAAAATATCCTTGGGTGAGGATTAAAAGAAAAACAGAGAAAGAAATGATCATGGGAGCAGAGACTTTAAAAGTAATGAGGCTGCCTGGCAGGCGTGGCTCAGTGGATTGAACATCTTCCCATGGACTGAGAGGTCTCAGTTCAATTCCCGGTCAGGGCACATGCCTGGGTTGTGGGCTCAATCCCAAGGGGGGTGCGTGCAGGAGGCAGCCGATCAATGTTTCTCTCTCACATTGATGTTTATTTCTCTTCCTTCTTCTCTCTCTCAAAAAAAAATCAATAAAAAACATATTAAGCCCTGACTGGTTTGCTCTGAGCAGTGGTTAGAGCATCGGCCTGCAATCTAGAGAGACTCGGGTTCAGTTCCTGCTAAGGGCACGTACCTCGGTGGCAGTTTGTCCCCGGCCCTGGTTGGGTCATGCAGGAGGCAGCACTCGATGTGTCCCTTTCACATCGACGTTTCTCTCTCTCTCTCTTCCTCTCTCTCCCTCCCACTCTATCTGAACAAAAAATGGAAAAATGTCCTCGGGTGAGGATTAAAAAAAACAACAACATATTTTTAAAAAAGTAATTAGGCTGTAGGCCAGAAAATAATTTTAATACCAAGTAGAAAAGACTAATTCACTTTGTCATTTTTCTGCTCTTACTGTACAGACTTCTACCTATGACTGAGAAGTGGCAGGTGCTGGCTGTGTTCTAGAGTGGCTGTTCATATGGGAGAGAGTCCCTTATATTGGTAGCTTGCTCCCAGATCTGGAGGAATGTCAGTGTCCTTTAGTTCTGGAAGTAGATGTGAAACAATAAAATAATTTATATGTGGTTTAAAAAAAGAAGGTACTAGCCCTGGCCGGTTTAGCTCAGCGGTTAACAGGTTAGAGCGTCGGCCCTTAGTCCAGAGAGACCAAGATTCAGTTCCCGCTAAGGGCACATACCTCGGTTGCAGTTTGTCCCTGGCTTTGGTTGGGGTTGTGTGGGTAACAGCCAATTGATGTGTCTCTTTCACATCAGTGTTTCTCTCTCCCTCCCTCTCTTCCTCTCTCTCCCTCCCTCCCTCCCTCCCTTTCCTTCCATTCTATCTGAAGATAAATAGCAAAAAAAAAAAGTCCTCGGGTGAGGATAAAAAAAAAGAAGGTACTACATAATTGTTAATTTTAAAATTTTCAAACTTAAAAATTCATAAATTTCAGTTACAAAAGAGCAATATGTTTGATCTAAAAAATGTCTAATACAGTACAGAGGCAAAGAATAAAAATCTTTTTCATCCCCAATCTATTGTCCTTTACAAAAAATAAATATTATATATTTAGTGTGTGTAATGATAGATAGTTTTGAAATATATAGGTGATTAACAAAGTATACAATTCGGAATGTTTACTGGCAAATAACAATGAAGAAAAAAATGGAAAAGTGTCCTCGAGTGAGGATAAAAAAGAAAAAAGAAGGAATTTAGGAAAACCTGAAGCAGGATCCAAGACAGGCCAATCCTATGGTTAAGCAACTGGCAACAGCTTGGGTGGGCCTGTAAGCTGGGTGGGGCGGGGCCTCAGGGTATTACCAGCGCGGGGCTACCAGTGTGAACCAGGTTGCTGGAGTCCCAGATATAGCAGCTGTCTGCTGCCCCAGGGAAGGGCTCACCAAAGGAACAAAGGCCTCTGACAGCACGTTTGTCCTGGAGAAAGCCCCCTCTCCAGCCCTCACTCCAGTGCCAAACAGCTCAGTTCTTCTCTGTATGTCTCTGGTGCCCCTCGAGCTGCCTCCCCTCCAAGCTTAGAGGGAGTGAATTGGATAAGTCCGTGCACGGGCCCTCTAAGGAGCTGCCTGGGGCTCCAGCTGCATCAGCCTCCCTGAGCCTCAGTTCCTGCTGGTTTTTCCAGCCATAAGTTATGGGGACTTCTCTTCCTGGCACTGGAACCCTGAGCAGGGCGTCTGGTGTGGAACAGGGACCCCTCAGTCCTCAGGGAGGACCTTCCCAGCCGAGGTGTCCTCCTGATTTTTATCCGCCACACTTGGGTGTGGGACCAGCCCGTCGCGCCTCCACCCCTCCTACCAGTCTCGATGTGGCTGCAGCTTTAATTCCATAGTTGTAGGACTTCCATTCAGCTTGATGTCAGGCGGTTTTGAATGATGGTTGTTCTGTAGTTTAGTTGTAACTTTTTTTTTTTTATCCTCACCTGAGGACATTTTTCTATTTTTTGTTCAGGTAGAGTGGGAGGGGGAGAGAGGAAGAGAGAGAGAAACATCGATGTGAAAGGGACACATCGAGTGGCTGCCACCCACGACCAACCAGGGCCGGGGACAAACTGCAACCGAGGTACATGCCCTTAGCGGGAACCGAACCCGGGTCTCTCGGGACTGCAGGCCGACGCTCTAACCGCTGAGCCAAACCAGCCAGGGCTAGTTGTAATTTTGATGCGGTTGTGGGAGAACGTGATACCGCCTTTACCTACACCGCCATCTTGACCGGAGATTGTTGCTTTTAATATTCTCTCTTTATCTTTAACCTTTTGCATTTTGATGATTTGTCTTGGTGTGGACCTCTTTGGGTTCATCTTGTTTGGAACTCTCTCTGCTTCCTGGACTTGTATGTCTGTTTCCTTCACCAAATTAGGGAAGTTTTTTGTCATTATTGTTTCAATAGGTTTTCAATTTCTTGCCCTCTCTCTTCTCCTTTTGACACTCCCATGATGTGAATGTTGGCACGCTTGAAGTTGTTCCAGAGGCTCCTTATACTATCCTCATTTTTTTGGATTGTTTTTCTTTTTGCTGTTCTGATTGGGTGTTTTTTGCTTCTTTATATTCCAAATGGATAGTTTGCTTCTTGGCTTGACCTACTCTACTATTGATTCCCTGTAAATTATTATTTATTTCAGTTAATGCATCCTTCATTTCTGACTGGTCCTTTATTATGCTCTTGAGGTCCTCACTAAGTTCCTTGACATTCTCACTAAATTAATTGAGCATCCTTTTAAGCAGTGTTTTGAACTCTGCATCTGTTAGATTGCTTATCTCTGTTTTGTTTAGTTCTTTTCCTGGTGCTTTCTTTTTTTTTCATTTGGGACATGTTTCTTTGTCTCCTCATTTTTACTGCCTCTCCGTGTTTATTATTATGTAATAGGTAGAGTTGCTATGTCTCCTAGGCTTCCGAGAGTGGCCTGTTATAATAGGTGTCCTGTAGGGTCGGTCCAGTGGCACAGCCTTCCTGGTCACCCAGCTGGGCCCTCAAGGTGCACTCCTAGAGTGGACTATAAACCCTTCTGTTGTAATTGAGTCTTGATTGCCGCTTTCAATGAGATTTCTGGATCATATGGTAGTTCTATTTTTAATTTTTTGAGGAATCTCTTCATATAGAACTTTTTACAACTTTTATTGATGCTGCTAAACTGTCTCTGAAAATATTTATATGGTTACTATGATGGACCTTCATGATTAATACCGATTTTTTATTTTTATATCTAGAACTCTTGCAGAATCTCCACCATCTGTAAACAACATAAAGAGTGAACCTGGTGATAAAGGGAAGAATAAAAATGAAGGGGAAGTTTTTAACCATGAAAAAAAGGCTGAAGATATTTGTCCTGAGACTTATGTAGAAGAGAAAAAGAAGAAACGTTCTGGATTCAGAGACAGAAAAGTATGGAGCACATTTTATAAATTAATCAGAAGTATAGTTAATCTAGAATTAGAATAACGTGGTTGAGTCTCTTTCGTGATGTATTTTAGATGGTTCATATTCACTTTGAAGTTATTCACCTCTGCTATTTTCCATCATGTTCTAAGGCAAACATACTCTTGGAATGTGAAGTTAATGGGGTTAGGAAAAGTACCTAAGATTGGTAATCAGGATTAGCATGTTTTAGCTTCAGTTCAGCTGCCTAAGGGTGATTCTTGCTTTCTGGATCTTTCTGATGTTGAACACTTTCATATATGTTCATTATGTCTGTGTGGTAATACAGATTTATGATGCCAGGTTGTAAAGGCAGAATAAAATCTCTTGGAAAATATACAAATATTTCCAGAAAAATCAACTAATTTTGAGGACAGCATAAACTTCAAATGACGTCAGCATTCTATATCTTTAATACAACTTGCTGTTATATAGCTCTACCTTAGAAAAGTTTCAGTTTTATTATAACAATGCCTATGATACTGGGCATTTGAATTCAACAGACATGAGTGATGAAAAGTCAAAAGGGTGAATATATTAGATATTTTGTTTCTTAACAATAAACTTCAGGGAATTGCCTTTACTTGCTAAAATATAGTTAATCAATGCAAGAAGATAATTTGAGTTATTTCTGTGTTGTGTGTGTTTGTAGTATATATTTACAAGAAGAGTTTCTTTGAGAAATTTGTATTTTTCTGGTTGTCTATTTGGATGAAGTTATTAAATAACTCTTGTCATTTCCTAAGTTCATTTCTTATTGAGGTGAATTTGAACAAAACTTATGTATCACAAGTTAATTGTCAACTATCCCAGTGTTTCCACTACGATACATTTATTTAAATATTTTGCCATGAGTGAATTCAAAGAAAGTTCAAATTTATCCTGCTCCAGCAGTTTCATTTAGAGTTAAACTTTTACAAAGTAGAGCTAAAATTACCCAAATGAACATTTTGTTTGTTTGTTTGTTAATCCTCACCCGAAGATATTTTTTCCTTTGATTTTTAGAGAGAGTGGAAGGGAGGGAGGGAAGGGGAGAAGGAGAGAGAAAAATCGATGTGACAGAGACACATCACTTGGTGTCCTCCTACACACACCCCGACCAGGTCCAGGGATTGAACCTGCAAACCAGATTCATGCCCTTGACATGGAATTGAACCCAAGACCCTTTGGTGCATGGGCCAATGCTCTAACAATGAGCACACTGGCTAGGGCAAAATTTATTTTTGAACCTTCCATTTTCTACTCCCACTTTCTGCTCAGCAGATGACCATATCTCATACGTCAGAAAAAAGTGAAAATTATTAATGTAATTTGTAACTCACGTGGCTATAAACTTTTCTCGTCTATGTTTGAAAAAATTCTTATTTCCTTCACTAAAGTCTCAGTGGAAGAACTGTTTTTCCTGTTCCAGCATGTCTATTCCACATGTTATTCTGTCTCACCAAGAACCTGTGTCAACACTTATTCTATCTTTATGCTGTTTTTTTCAGTTACCCTTTGTCTGTTTTTCTTTTACATAGTCTACATAGGCATGTTAAAGGTTCTTCTATCTTTAATTAAATAATAAACCGTTTATGATCAGTTTTTTCTAGCTACTGTCCCATTTCCTTGTAATACCAGACTGCTCCAGTTTCTACATGCTGTTTTTGACACTCTCAGTTTTCTTTTAAAATTTTTCCTTTTTTCCTTTGTATTCTCTTGATTTTCATGGAATACTTCAAATATCCAAGAAAAAATTAAAACTACTAAAATGAACATGCATTTACCCACACTTGTTTTTTGTCAAGTTTTAACATTCTCCTATATTTGCTTCAGGGTTTGTTTTTTTTTAATTCTCACCTTAGGATATGTTATTATATTTATTTTTATTATTTATTTGTTTGTTTAATCCTTATTTGAGGATATGTTTTTATTGATTTGAGAGAGAGAGAGGAAGGGAGAAACATTGATGTGAGAGAGAAATATCAATTGATTGCCTTCTGCATGCACCCTGACTGAGAATCGAACCTGCAACCTAAGTATATGCCCTGACTGGTGTATGGATGACACTGTAGCCAAATAAGCCACCTGGCCAGGGCTTCAGTTTTTTTTTGTTTTGTTTTTAAGAAGAAATGAAGTGAATATAAAAATACATTGCTGTATACATTCTTCGGTCTCATTTTTCTCAATTCTACTTCAGAGGTAAACCCAGTGTCCCAAATTTACTATTTATTCCTTTGCATGTCCTGGTTGTTTTGTGTGCTTTGTTTAATTTTAATTTTTTAAAATTCACAGATACAAAGAGTTAGGATAGTCATATTACTTAGTTCTTAGATACAGTTTTTGTTAGTTTGTGCATGCTTCTCTCTTTTGTCTTTTATCATTTTGTTTTATTTTTAATTTTAAAAAATTTTATTGTTTCTTGTGAAATCTCAGTTCTCAAAATTTCTCACACATTGCATCAGTTTTGCTTCACTGTCATTTCTTTCTTTTGGAACTCGACTTGGATTTAAAAGAACTTGTCCTGTATATCTTTTAACTGCTCTTGTTTTCCCACTCACCCAGGGTCTCTCGTTTCTTTTTCTTTAACTCTTTTTTTATTGTGATAAAATACATATAACATAAAGTTTATCATCTTAACCATTTTTTTTTCCTTTATTGATTTTTAGAGAGAGAGGAAAGGAGAGGGAGAGAGAGATAGAAACATCGATGAGAGAGAACATTGATTGGCCGCCTCCTGCATGCCCTTCACTGGGGATTGGGCCCACAACCTGGGCATGTACCCTGGCTGGGAATCGAACTGGTGACCTCTTAGTGCATGGGTCGACGCTCAACCAGTGAGCCACACCAGCCGGGCATCTTAACCATTTTTAAATGTACAGTTCAGTGGTATTAAATACATAGTAATGTACACCGTCTCCATAACAGTTTTCATATTATAAAACTGAAAACCTATACCTATTAAATAATAACTCCCTACTACCTCTTTTCCCCAGCCCCTGGCAACCACTATTTTACTTTCTGTTGCTATGATTTTGAATACTAAAAGAATGTCATACAGCCCTGGCCAGGTTGGCTTAGTGGTAGAGTTGGATTCTGAGGCTTAATCAGACTCAGATTTGATCTTTGCGGCAAGACTACAGGCAGTGCTGTATTCTTTTATCAGGAAGCATCTTATGTCGGCTTGCTTTTCTTTTTGTGATCTTAACAGCTATTGATGTTCAATGGCTAGATCTGTTCATTTATTGAGGTTGCAAAATAGTGATGATCTAATTTTATCCTGTCTTTTATATTTATTAATTGGACTACTTTGTAAAGAGACACTTTTCCTCATGTACTTATTTGGTTGCAACTACTACTTGGCTACTATTTGGTGCATATAGGAAATATAATGCCTGGATTGTGATCTGATTAAAGTCCAGAAGTTTTATTGAAGACAGCTGTCTTAATATCATGATGTTCAAGAATGTTTTAAATAAGTGATTGAATGTAAATATTGTAATTCCCTTATTACATTTTTTTCTCCAGGCTAAACATGACAAAGTCCTTCAACATTTTTTGATACATCTTAGTTTCCAAGCCTTTGTTATCTTAGATGCTGTATTCTGAACTCTTTATGTAATACTTTGTTAGTGTTCCTTTTAACATGACACTTAAAAGGAGGCAGCTCAGCCTGGCAGGTGTGGCTCAGTGGTTGAGCATCAACCCATGCACTAGGAAGTCGCTGGTTCGATTCCTGGTCAGGGCACGTGCCCAGGTTGTGGGCCCAATCCCCAGGGTGGGTCATGCAGGAGGCGGCCAGTCGATGTTCTCTCTCATCAATGTTTCTATCTCTTTCTACCTCTCCTTTCCTCTCTCTCTAAAAGTCAATAAAGAAAAAAAGAAAATTTTTTAAATAAAAGGAGGCAGCTCAATATCAACTGATTTGGAATGATCTCCAAGATACATTGCTAAGTGTTAAAAAAGCAAAATATATACCATATAGTGTGTCTACATGAAACTCTACCAATGTGGGAATGCAAAAAGTGTATTACTTTCCATGACCTATTGTTTCAAACTAAAACTAATTAATAATATTAAGCCACATAAATTAGTGACTCTTGTATAAACCAAGGAATCTGATTTTTGTCTGAAAATCATTGACTTTTAAGTTATCTTTCTACTTTTCTTTTGTATATGATTGAATCAACTATTACTAGTTCACAAAGTCATCTTTAGCAGTAGCTATGGCTTATACCCTAAATGTTGCAAACTGATTAATTTTTGTTATTCAGAACAAGCACATAGAAGGCCTAAAGAAAGTCATTTATTCTGTAGCCAGTTGACCCAGCAGATTGTTGTAGTATAATATAAATGCCTTTGATTTAAGACTTTTGGCTAAGTCTCAAGGCTGCTAAGGGGTTGTAAAGCTCTTAGTGTGTTTGTCACCTGCCAAATCTTTTGATAACATCTCTGAAATCAGTATTCAGATTTTAATGAAAATTAGCATTAGAAAGATTCTTGTCATGTATAGTTACAAATTAGCAATCCTTTCTCAGTTGCTGAAAGCACATCTGCAAAGGAGTTAAATGGCTGCTGTCAGTGACCTCAAAGGGTGACCAGCTAGCCAGAACTGACCGTTACAGTACTATCTGTATTAATATGGCAAATTAAAAACATTAACAGTGTTTTTCTTTTTAATTATCACCCGAGGACATTTTTGCATTTATCTTCAGATAGAGCTGGAGGGAAAGATGGGGAAGAGAGAAAGAGAGAGAAACATCGATGTGAGAGAGACATATCGACTGGCTGCCACCCACATGACCCCAGTCAGGGCCGGGGACAAATTGCAACTGAAGTACATGCCCTTAGGGGGAACCGAACCTGGGACTCTCTGGTCCATGGGCCGATGCTCTAACCGCGGAGCTAAACTGGCCAGGGCAACAGTGTTTTTCTTAATATAATGTATTGCTTTATAGACATTGAACTGACGAGATTTTAGATTGTTTTGACACATTTTCTAATCAGTTATTTATAAGATAGTATTTATTATTGACTGTCTCAACATATAAAATTCAGGTATGAGAGAAATCTCTTCACCAAAGTACTGTGTATTTAGTATTTTGATGGAAAAGATTTCTCTTCATACCTGAATTTGTAAATGAATACTATGCAGAAGATACAGTATTTTGTATGTTCCATGCACAGAATGGGGTCTTGGATCCCAGGTAAGGAAATGGGCTTTCATATTAACATTCTACTCTTTTAGTTAAATGTATGCCTTATTTGATTTGGTTCCTATTCAGATATTTGCTTGTGCTCTTTCCAACTCTACTTTTTTCTAAATGTGCTGTAAATAGAGGATCTCTGACAATTTGCTTAATTTTATAGAAAAAGTAGAAGTCTTATTGTTTGAGACCTGTTAATAATTGAGTTTCCATGGTATGTAATTTTATTTTTTTAATGCCATAATTTTATGTACTTTGTATTTGTAAGACTATTGGCTATTCAAACCCAGGAAGTCCCAAGTCTGTTTTGTTTTAAGATTCAGGAAATCGCATAGAAATAAAAACTGTAAAATCAATTCTTTTTTAAAGACTTGGTATTTAAGAACCCTTAGGCTACTATAAACATGGCATTATACCCTGTTACTGAGATGTTTTGAATTCTTGCATGGCATTTTTTCAATTTTGCTTTCAGTGATTTTTTAAAAAGTAAGAAAGTCCTTTAAAAAAATTTATAAACAATAGTTACACAAGCATTGCCTCAAATGGAATGTGAAAGGTATATTGGAAGAAAGTTCAAAAGTTTTTGAAATTCAAGTTTATCTCTAATATAAAAAAAACCTAGTTATAGAAAAAAGTGATATAATCAAATTTCCCCAGAAAATAAAATACAAACTGTGAAAATGAGAACTGCTTAATAATAACACTCGGGATTTCTAATTTTAGGTAATGGAGTATGAGAATAGGATTAGAGCATATTCTACACCAGACAAAATCTTCCGGTATTTTGCGACCTTGAAAGTAATCAGTGAGCATGGTGAATCTGAAGTATTTATGACTCCACAAGATTTTGTGCGATCTATAACACCCAATGAAAAACAACCAGAACGTAAGTTGCTAAGGTGAAAAATAAGATTGTGATATTTCTTTTGTTGTATACTACTTTATTTCTTTCTATGTATTGCCTAAACTTTATAGGTCCACCCAATAATTACATTCACTGTGTAGCTGCTATATGTCAGGCATTATGTCAGGTTTTTAGAGTACAAAAGAGGAGCCTACCATCTAATATGTTAGTCCTCAACCAGGTTAAAGGCTTAAGGAGAGTGTACACTCGGCTGAGATTCATTGCTTGCAATGAGAGTGTTCCTGAAGGCAGTACATTACATATGTGACTGCCATCAAGTTACTCTTTGTTTGTTTGTTTGTTTATTTATTTTGCAATCCTCACCCGAGGATATTTTTCCATTTACCTTCAGATAGAGTGGGAGGTGGGGAGAGAGAGAGAAAGAGAAATATCGATATGAGAGAAACACATCGACTGGTTGCCTCCCACATGATCCCGACCAGGGCTGGAGTCCTAACCACAACCCAGATACATGCCCTTGACTGGAATGGAACCTGTGACTCTTTGGTCCACAGGCTGACGCTAACTGCTGAACCAAACCGGCCAGGGCATCAAGTTACTCTTTAGTGAAGGAGGCAGAGACAGTAATAGGTAATTTCAGGAATGTGAGGATTTGTTAAAGAATGATGGTGCTGTGGCAGTATGAAGAAGGGGTACTTAGATAAATCTGAAAGCTGGGAGAATGGTTTCTAGAGAATGCATCTAAGTTTGGCTAAAAGCCTATATAGGCGTAGCACTAAGTTCACAAAGATAAAGTCATCCATTTTAAATATGCTCAAAGAATAGTGGAAAGGATATCTCATATAGAGGAAACAGCCTGAACAAACAAAGTATGATGAAAGAAAATAAATGGCTTAATTTTTTTTTTCCCAATCCTCATCCAAGTACATTTTTCCATTTATCTTCAGATAAAGTGGGAGGAAGAGAGAAGGAGAGAGAACGAGAAACGTCGACATGAGAAGGACACATTGACTGGTTGCCTCCCACAAAGCCCCCGACCAGGGCTGGGAATGAACTGCAACCTAGGTAAATGCCCTTGGCTGGAATCGAACCCATGAATCATTGGTCCATGGGCTAACGCTCTAACCACTGAGCAAAACCAGCCAGGGCAATATTTTAAGTTAAATGTAACAATTTACAAATGTATATGGGAGATATGGTAGGGAAAATGACAGAATAGAGAGCTCTAAGAATTAATCCTCCACTTAAGCAACCATTAAGCTGCCAAAAATGGACAGAAGCAACTTTTTTTGGACCCCTGGAATCTAATAAAATACTTACAGTAACTGGGAGTGCTTAATGAAGAAAAGAAGCTGCTAAATTTGGTAAGAAAGTGTTGTGGCCTTTTGCTTACCTGCTATGATGCCCTATTTCCCAGTTCAGCTGCCATGGCAGCGTACATTCCTAATGTGGCTTATAGTTAATGAGGTGTTCAGTGGGGTAATACAGACTTTGTTCTAAAAAAAATTGTGGTTGTGCATTTTTACTTGTCTAGTAGCTCTCTGAGGGACCAGCACAAAGGCTTGCCCTTTTCTTTCACTCACCTCAAGCTAGAGTGGCTTCCCAGGTGTCATCTACTGAAAAAATTTAAGACATATACTACCCGTAGCTCCCAGGTTAAAAGAGGGTGGATGGGACAAGCAGCAGACAGACTGAAAAGCCTAGAAAGGAGGATACTGAGGAGGAAGACGTTTCAGGGGATAGAGCTTTGAAGGGCTACTGAATATACAGGGGAATCCAGAATGCAGTGTGCATTCTCAGTGCCAGATACATGCTTGGAAAAGACCTGAGTGAGCCTGTACCTCTTCCTGATCTTTGGGCTCCATGCAAGGAGATGAAAGTTAAGTCAGAGTTGAAGATCTAGCTAAACATCAAAGGAGAGCTCCAGCTCAGAGCCAGTCAGCATATAGTAGGAGAGTTAGGGGGGCTTTTTGTTTTGTGTTTTAATTCTTTTTGGCTGCAACATTTAGGGAAATCTCTATCGGATCACTTGCGAACTGCCTAGATAATAGAAAAGAAACTTTAGTGATGACACACAACAAGGAATACAATCTTTACAAAAATAATTTGGAAAAATCACTAAACAAAGTGATGACTGTAGTCCTCAACAGGTTACAACACCAAACTCTGGGAAGCAGGAGAATTTTATTTCTTTAATTACAACATTGCAATATTCAAAATGTCCAATTTTAAATTTAAAATTACATGGCGTTCCAATAATCGGGAATGTATGACTCATTACCAGGAAAGAAAAATTAACAGAAACCATTCATGAGACAGCCTACCTAAGTATTGCACTTACTTTACAAAGATTTTAAATCAATCATCTTAGATATGCTCAAACAGCAAGAGAAAACCATAGACAAAGAACTATAGGAAACAAGGAGACAGTGTATTACTAAAAAGAGAATATCCATAAAGAAATAGAAATTCTATAAAGGAACTAAATAGAAATTCTTCCTCTAAAAAGTTTAGTAGTTGAAATAAAAAATTCCCTAGAAGAGTTCAGCATCAGTTTTGAGCAGGCAGATCAAAGACTCAGTGAACTTGAAGATATATCAATTGATATTATTGAGTATGAGGACTAAAAAACAAAAAGTATGAATAAAAATGACCAGAGCCTAAGATACTTGTGGAACACCATCAAGTGTAACAACATATGCGTAATGGGAGTCCCAGAAGGAGAACATTTCCAGATGATCAAAAGCTGAGGAAGATTGTTAATAATAGACCTTCCCTACAGGAAATACCAAATAGAGTCCTTTAGGCTGAAATGAAAGGATATTAGACTAACTCAAAGCTATACAAAGAAATTAAAGATATGGTTCTGGTCAAGACGGCAGATTAAGCAAACACTGTGCTCACCTCATCTCACGACTACATCAAAATTACAACTGAAGCCCTGGCCAGTTTGGCTCAGCGGTTAGAGCGTCGGCCTGCGGTCCGGAGAGACCCGGGTTCGGTTCCCGCTAAGGGCACGTACTTCGGTTGCAGTTTGTCCCCGGCCCTGGTTGGTCGTGCGGGTGGCAGCCACTCGATGTGTCCCTTCACGTCGATGTTTCTCTCTCTCTCTCCTTCCTCTCTCTCCCTCCCACTCTATCTGTACAAAAAAATGGAAAATATCCTCAGGTGAGGATAAAAAAAAAAATTACAACTGAAATACAAAATAACCATCATTGAGAACCACCTGAAATCGAACAGAATTCCTATGACTAAGGATATACAGTAGACACCACATCAAGACAGGTAGGAGGGACGGAAACACAGAATGGGCTGATCCCACACCCACATGTGGTGGGTAAAAATCAGGAGCGATATCTTGGTTGCAGAGTACCTCCCTGAGGAGCAAGGGGTCCCAGCCCCACACCAGGCTCCTCACCCAAAGATCAAGTGCCAGAAAGAGATGTCTCCATAACTTCTGGCTGTGAAAACCAGTAGATGTTGTGGCTGAGTGAAATTAAGGACTTCTGAAGTCCCAGGCATTCCTTTTGAAGTGCTCATACACAGACTTACTCACTGACAACCTTAATTCCTCTCAGCTCCAATGCTGGGGCAATGGTTGGAAAGGTGCCAGGAATATATGGGGAGGAACTAAAATGTATGACTTCAGGGCAAGGACTAGATGGGCATCTTCACAAATGACACACCCACAGGCTAGATATAGCAGGCATGAGAGCCCTGCTAAAGCAAATTCTGCCCCATCAGGTCAGCCCCTGCACACTGCTCCTCCATTGTAGTCATGGCTAGACCTGACAACCAATCAGCCTGAGGGTCAGTCCTTCCAATTGATATGCTCAGCAGTCAAGGCTCAACTGCAACAGGAGGGTACACACAACTCACACAAGAGACACACCTGAAGCACCTGTCTCAAGTAACCAGGGAGATTATGCCACTGGTCCCATAGGAAACCTATTACATAAGGCCACTCTACCAAGACCAGGAGATATAGCAGCTCTCCCTAATACACAGAAACAAACACAGGGAGGCAGCCAAAATGGGGAGACAAAGAAACATGTCCCAAATGAAATAACAGAACAAAACTCAAGAAAAATAAATAAAATAGAGATAAGCAGATGCATAGTTCAAAATACTGGTTATAAGAATGCTCAGTGATCTCAGCAAGAACATCAAAGAGAAGAAACATAAAAATAGAGATAGAAAACATAAAAAAGAACTAGTCAGAAATGAAGAATACAATGACCAAAGTTGTAGCTTTGATCCCTGGTTAGGGCACATACAAGAATCAACCAATGAATGCACAAATGGGTGGAACAATGAGCCTCTTTCTCTCTCTTTCTTTCTCTCTCCCCTCCACCCCCACCCCCGTCTCTAAAATCAAAACATATTTTTAAAAAATTTTTAAAAGAGAAAGTAAAAAAGTTTAAACAAAATAGATTAGATGAAGCAGAGGATCAAATCAGTGATTTGGAATATAAGGAAGCAGAAAACACCCAATCAGAACAGCAAAAAGAAAATATAACCCAAAAACAAGGAGGATAGTTTAAGGGGCCTCTGGGACAACATCAAGCATTCTAACGTTCACATCGTATTGGTACCAGAAAGAGAAGAGAACAAGGAATTGAAAACTTATTTGAAGAAATAATTGCAGAGAACTTTCCTGATCTAGCAAAGGAAAGAGACATAGAAACCCACGAAGCTCAGAGAGCCCCAACAATATGAATTCAAAGAGGCCCACACCACAACACATCATAATTAAAATGTTAAAGGTTAAAGACAAAGAGAGGATTTTAAAAGTATCAAGAGAAAAGCAATTACCTACAAGGGAGCTCCCATAAGACAGTCAGCTGATTTCTCAACAAATATTTACAGGCCAGTAGGATTGGCACAAAATATTCAAAGTGATGAGAACCAAGGGCCTGCAACTAAGATTACTCTACCCAGCAAAGTTGTCATTAGAATCAAAGAACAGAGAAAGAGCCTCCCAGACAAGAAAAAAACTAAAAGAGTTCATTACCACCAAACCAGTATTACAAAAAATGTCAAAAGGGTCTTCTTTAAGAAGAAAAAAGATAAATAGAAGATCAAAAATATGAAAATAAAATGGGAATAACCACATATCTATCAGCAATTACTTTCAATGTAAATGGATCAAATGTTAGAGTGTCGGCCCACGCACTGAAGTTTTGTTCCTGGCCCTGGTTGGAATGTGTGCAGGAGGCAACCAATTAATGTCTCCCTCACTTCGATGTTTCTCTCTCTCTCTCTCTCTCTCTCTCTCTCTCCCTCTCTCTCTCTCTCTCTCTCTCTTAAAATCAATGGAAAAAATCCTCGGGTGATGTAGTGAAAAGAGCACCACCCCAACAAGAGTCTAGGATTCTAGTTTGGCTCTGCTGTTGAATAGGTTTGTGTATGAACTTTTTACCCTCTTCATCCTCTCAGAGCCTCACTTCTCTGTATGTAAAGTAAAACATTGATATCTTTTAGCACTTGCACTTTGAGTCTGAAAGTGGGACAAAACTTTTGTTCTTGTGACCTTGGAATAGTGTTGTAGCTAAGCCATCTAGTACATTTAATTCAATGATTGGAAACAAAACTGAGAGCTGTCATTTCATGTTTTATTTGAGTTATAGTCAGTGACTAAATTTTTTTTTCCCTCTTTTACAGACTTGGGCCTGGATCAATATATAATAAAACGCTTTGATGGAAAGGTGAGCAAACTATGACATGTATATATCCTGTTTACTAAAAAGATTTTAAAGTTCCTCTAGAATTATTTGTGAGAGATTTCTGAATATATGCTTATCTTATCAAAAAAGTATGTTGCTTAGGTTGAGAGAGGCCTGTAAGTGCTTACAGATGAAAGAGTCAAGCAGAAGTTTCTTCAGTATTTATCCATACAAGGTAACACCCGTGGATTGTCTGCTGTTTATATTAAGGACTAATTCCATGTATGTTGACATTAGAGTTTTAATTCAAAAGCCACAAAAGTTAACAAGCCCCCCAATATTGCATTTGTTTTATTTTTTATTTATTTATTTTTATCCTCACCCGAGAACATTTTTCCATTTTTTTTGTTCAGATAGAGTGGGAGGGAGAGAGAGAGAGAAACGTCGACGTGAAAGGGACATATAGAGTGGCTGCCACCCGCACAACCAACCAGGGCCAAAGACAAACTGCAACCGAGGTACGCGCCCTTAGCGGGAACTGAACCCAGGTCTCTCTGGACCGCAGGCCAACGCTCCAACCACTGAGCCAAACTGGCCAGGGCTTCATTTGTTTTAAAAACACCTATCTGATTTAACCTTTCTCAAACTGTGATAGTATATAGCAGTAATCTTAACTGGAAAATTAGGGAAGTCCTTACCAGTGCTTTTATAATAATTATGAAGACCATCCCAAATTTATATTTGTTTGCATTATACTTACTTTCAATTCTTTATCTATGCCTGAATAAATCATATAATAAATCATTCTTAAGTATGGAAAATGAAACTTTCCATTTTATTATCTCAAAGCAGTTAGTTAAACATGTTTTTCCCTTTCAGGCTGAATTCTCCAAAAAGAGAAAGAATATATTACACAGGGTCAGAAAGAAAAGTAAATGGTCAATTTTAAAGAGGAAGAAGAAAGAAGAAAGAGCCAGAAATGGTTCTACAAAACCTAAAGAGAAGGAGATCAGAAGGAAAATCATGAAGTGGCTGAAAAAGGCAGGATCACAAAAGAGGGTAGAGGTCAGGGTTAGTAGAAATTGATCTTGCAGGAATGTATCCATCCTGCATCAGTATGTAAGCTCCATATACTGGTAATGTGAAGATATAAGTGCTAAGATCTTTTGTGCAAGTGAGAGTAATGAGTGGCTATCTTAACAGTTAAAAAAATCTCAGCCAAGGCTTCCAGCCTAAAAATTGCCTTTCCTATTCAGGTGACACAGTGCCTCCATCTGTGAGTATCCTCTTTTTAAAGTCCTATAATTTAAAAGAAACACTGATCCAAAAGAAGCCATTGAACTTGATGTTAGGAGACCTAGGTTCAGAGCCTTGGCTCTGCTTTGGGACAGCCACATCTTTCCTCTGATCCTTGGTGTCTCTACTTTATGACAAAGTACTATATCCATGTTAGGGCTTATTTGCGGATACTGATGTCAGGGTCTGATTTCAGAGTCTCTGGCAAGTTGGGCCCCTGGCTTTTCTGTTTTTGTGTCACTCAGAGTCCAACATATGTCTTGCACACAGGTGATCAGTAAACATGTGATGACTCGGGAAGAATCAACTAATCAATTGCATATTCCTTGGAGGTATGACTCACTAAGTCAGTAATATCTTATAGCAAAATCAGTTTAACAAATCACTTTTTTTGGTCACTGAAAGAATCCAGAGTAGCATGAGAATTCAGTTCTCTAATGTTGTATATATGTAAACCTGAAAATACATAAAGAAGTTGAATATGTGCAACTTGAGCAGTAAATTTACATAAGGGGAATTTCCATTTTTAGAGATCCTCAAATATAAAATCCCTAATGATAATTCATGTTTCATACATGCCATTTAATGTTTTTCTGTTTCAGCCAGTAACTATTCACTTGATGCTAAAAACTTGCAGCTTTTGGCAAGACTGATGAGCTCCCCCCTTGTTTTAATTGTATTAAATTTATGAACTCTACATTTCTTATCATTGGTGTCATTTGCATTTTTCTAATATCCACTTATCTTTATAAAATAGCAGGAGTAAAATGCAATAAAACATTCAAGTATTTGCCCACCTTGATATGGAGAATGAAATGCAGTGCTTCTCACTTAGGAAGGCAGACTTACGAGATTATAATTGCAAATGTCTGCGCCTAAAGCATAAGATTCTGAAATCAAAGTAGCAAAGGCAAGATTTAGGTATATTAATGTATAGTGTTTGAAAGTATGATTTGTATGAAAGAGAACAGAGGAATGAGAGACTCATACAAGGAGGTGTAGAATTGAGCCAGTGACCCTGAACTAACCCGCTTGTCCTAGCAAAAGTGCACACAGATTTCCCTTTCATCCCTGTTATGATATACATATTTAATGCCTTTGCCAGGGTCTTCATTTTGATCCTATTTTAATTTCCATCAAATATATTCTTAAGGTCTTGTTTGCTTCTTAAATAGGATTTTTAAACCTAGTTTACCTCTAGTTTGTCTTTATGAATTGTCTTTTATTTCAGATGAAGCTTAAGAAAGTAGTTTGATACTGTTTTTAGGCCTCAATATAACAAAGAGTGCAAAATTGTGTTTAATTAGTTTAGAAGTTTTTCCACGGATTTTTGCCATTTATAAAAGGCTTTACTCACCCTGGCCAGTTTGGCTCAGCAGTTAGAGCGTCGGCCTGCGGTCCAGAGAGACCTGGGTTCAGTTTCCGCTAGGGGCATGTACCTCGGTTGCAGTTTGTCCCTGTGTCCGGCCCCGGTTGGGTCGTGCAGGAGGCAGCCACTTGATGTGTCCCTTTCATGTCGATGTTTCTTTCTCGCTCTCTTCCTCTCTCTCCCTCCCACTCTATCTGAACAAAAACAGATGGAAAAATGTGAGGATTAAAAAAAAACCTTTACTTGATAACTCTGAGGATCAGCACTTATCCAACTATCAATCTTATTTTCCTTTGCATCTTCATGACTCTTTTGATGTCTTAGTCAGAAATTTAATTCTTAAGTAGCAATTTCTAGAGTATATAAATCCTAAAAAAATTATTGAGTTGTTAATAAAACAGATTTGTGTGGTAATTATAGTAAATTTCATACATGATGGCCAGAAATTTAGTAGAAATCTAACACCCTAGAGTAATTTCCTTTTAAACTTGCTTTGGTTTTTAAATGGATAATTTTCTCTCTTTTTTAATTTTTTAACTTGGAAGATAAACTAGTTATGAACTGCTTAGAGAAAGAATATTGACTCTCGCCCTGGCCAATTTGGCTCAGCGGTTAGAGCGTTGGCCCTAGGACCAATGAGTCGCAGGCTCAATTCTGGTCAAGGGCATGTACCTCGGTTGCTGTTCGTCCCCAACCCTAGTCAGGGTCGTGTGGGAGACAGCCAGTCGATGTGTCTCTCTCACATCGATGTTTCTCCCTCCCTCCCTCCTACTCTATCTGAAGATAAATAGAAAAATATCCTCAGATGAGGATTAAAAAGAGAATATTGACTTTCATTCTCTTACCCCCATTGTTTTAACTTTTAACACACCATTTAATAAAGTCTATCATTTGACCAGTAAGAAACACTAGCTTATTTTATTGCCTTCTAATTGAATTGCACTTTAGCCTTTTGTCATTGAAAGCAAGAACAAATGTAGAAATAGTATTATTTTCCTGGAGTCTTTTCTCATTTATACTTGAATTTTGTACAATCTCCAGAAGCAAAGTAGAGAAGAATGGTCCAACTGATACTGACAAATAATTGGATAGTTATTTCTTGCTTTGATACTTAGCTTCTTTTCTCCTGTTCTGTTTGACTAGAAAATTCCCTTAAGAAGAAATGAAATATTCTGGTTTCAACTGATAGTCATGAAACTGAATTTGATAAAGTGGCCTTTTAATTTCAGGGAGGATCTTTTTCCAGAGCCCATTACTACCTTATGTTAATGTACCCTTACTCTAAGGATACTGGCAGTTTCCTTTTGTACAAAAGTCATGAAATACATTATTATTGGCACTTGTATCATTTATGCATTTCAAAACTACCTACTAACACAAACCATGTATAAAGAAGCTATAGTCTGCCCTGGCCAGTTTGGCTCAGTGGTTAGAGCGTTGGCCTGCGGTCCGGAGAGACCCGGGTTCGGTTCCCACTAAGGGCACGTACTTCGGTTGCAGTTTGTCCCCGGCCCTGGTTGGTCGTGCGGGTGGCAGCCACTCGATGTGTCCCTTCACGTTGATGTTTCTCTCTCTCTCTCTCTCTCCCTCCCACTCTATCTGTAGAAAAAATGGAAAAATATCCGCGGGTGAGGATAAAAAAAAAAAAAAAAAAAGAAGCTATAGTCAGTGGTCTTTGGTTTTAAGAATATCTTTTGTAGATAAGTGATACTTTTAAAAATATTGAGACTAGGTTTAAAAGTTTAAAAATCTCAAAGCCGGAAAGAGTTCAGATTTTGATAAAGGATATTTGAAAATCACTATAAATAGCATATTAACACTATTATACAGATGACAGTATAAAATATGGTCTGGCTTTTGTTTTGTTTAGATTAAAAAAAAAAAAAAAAACACCTGCTCTCCCCTGGCAGTGTGTCATGTCCATGTATTTTCCTTATGACTTACTTGTTAATGCAGTTATTTCATGGATTTTGGATTATTTCTTTAATGAAAACTGTATTTATTCTGGGTTTAATTTTTATCATCTAATAATTGGTCTTTGAAACAGTATAACTTCTATATTACATAACTGACAAATATTTCTCTCATTTAGTCATTTAGTTACTCTCTTTTACTGGTGTGGTTTATACCCTTCCTTTTCTAGGTTCTCTTACCTCTCTTTTTTTTTCTCAGCATACCAAAGATAGAAATTATGTTCTGTATTTTCTGTTTCTATTGCATGTAATAGACAGCACTCTTCATACCAGATACCACCATGTTATGTGTTTTTTTAAGTTACAATAGAAGACTTCACGATCTAGGTAAAATTGTTTCTTAAGCTAAGAATACCAGTATTCCAGAGTTTTGATGTAATCCTCATTTCTCTTCTGAAAACTTTAAAGTTCACACTCTTTTTTTCAGGTAACAAGTAATTAATTGCTCATTATTATCATTCCACTATGTATTTTTTTTTTTCAGAAAGTAGATTTTTTATTCTTTCACGTTACCTTTTCACCCAAACACTCCTGAACTTTTTAGAAATGATGCACTAGGATTGAGTTTATTCAATATTTGTAATTATAGCCCCCTTAGAATCTCTCCAATTTGGAAGAAAGAATTAATGTGTGTTTTCTTTCCATCTCCTTTATGATACATACCAGAATATTTGTTCACATGGAACAGGAAAACACTTTATATCAGATTAAAATAAAAATTGTCCACATTTAGGTAAAAGAAATAAAAGTACGGTTAAAGGCTATAATCAGTATTTAGAACAAAAAAGATGATCAGCAGAAAAAGAGATGGGAGCCACAGTTAAAAAATAAAGGTTTTGATATAACTGAGTGCTTTTAATTGCTTAGTAGGTAAAAGTTATTTTTTAAATGTTAATAAATGAATGTTAAAATGCCATTCCCTTAAGGGGTAAGTCTTGATTCCCTAAGGGGAGTGTATGTACACATTTTCCTCTTAGTTCTTTATTCAAGTTTGATTATTTGCTTCATATCACAGACAAAATATGAGTCTGGAATAAAGTCAAGTATAGTATTACTCCTTGACATATATAGTAAGTAATATAAAGGATATCTTCTGTCTTCTAAGAGAGAAATGTATTGGAGATCAAGAAAATGTAACTTAAGAGCAGGTAGACTGAAATTCTCATGGGACAGAATTTTTAAAATCTTTACATTTATTTGAACTGCTTTAATTCTGCTCAAATTTATATAGCAGGTTATGATGTTTTTATGAATTCTGAAGTGTTAATTAGGTGCATCTCTCCCTCTTTCTCTCTGTCTCTTTCCTTTAGCTTCCAGAAACTTGAAATCAGTCAAGTCTAATTTTTTATGAATTGATATATTTATTCAGGTTTTTCTATTGATCAATATGAGTATGTAGACAG